GGTGGTAATTTTTTTGATGGTTTTCCGCAAGACCCAAATATGATAGTTCTACTTATTTTTGAACATATGTTTTTCTTCTATTATATGTTACATGAAAGATTAGCTCTCCGGTTGCATTTGACGCCTGAATTGACGTGGCAAATAAGATGCACTTTGTCTTAACGGCTCTCGATATACCTTTCAGTGCAAATGCATCGTCAACAATTCGTTTCTGTTACATCGACAACTTAGCAGCTTTCCTTCAAGTCAGAAGCAAAAAAGAAAAAATTACCCGAACAACCTGGGCGAGCCTGCTACACACGTTACAACTATTCTGCCCAGGTGTGAAAGATTCGCCCATTTTTGGTTCAATGTCGAACATCAGCCTTCCTTCCGTGTAAAGAGAAAGTAATCGTGGCAAGCAAAACGGAAAACAATCAACAGAATGTGTTATAACAACAAGGGAAGCCTTCTTCTGCAACAAACAACATTTGTGATACTCTGAAAACCCAGCTGAAGCCATGCAAAGTGTTATGTCGGGGGACCGATGAGCCTATTGTTTGGTGGCAAAACGAAAGAGAGAATCGCCAGCAGACTGACCAGTAAGCGAGCAATATCGATCAAAGCAGCTAAAAAAATTGCCAAGTGCATAGCTGGAGCAAGACACTGTGAAGTGGACTTGGACTGTGTAAAGCATCAAACTAAGTAATTAAGCATCGATTAGTGGAGAAAATCTTTAAAAAAAAACAAAAAAGAGCTAACTTTCACAACGGTAAAATCGGGGACCAGCATTGTGTGTACAGCGGAGTGCTGGAGGATGTTAAAAGCAGATGATGCATCATTCAGCGATACGATTAAATCCTTTATGGTTTTCAAACGCACTTTCCTGTCAAAAAAGGGCTCTGGTAAAATATCTCGCAATTAAACGCATTGTTTCAGAAAAATGCACATTTTCCTCATTATTACATATTATTACGAAATTTTTCTATTTTTATATAAATTCTTCTCGATGCTAAAGCGGTAAGCCTGCTGGCAAGTCAGATCACATTTAGCCTGCTTTCTTCTAAGACTCACCTTTTCTGAGCAACTTTCGAAAGAGGGAATTGTCCACAGTATGGCCAGCAGGAAGGCTGCTAACAGAACTGTGCCGTTTTAAAGTCATTTTCAAGTGCCTTTATTTCTCGCAACAGCCAAATTACGAAGCTTTTAAAATCACAATTCACATGGGAAAATTCACTTACTTTTGATCCCAAACATTTACAACAGCAGTTGCCGTGTACTGCGGGCTACTTTCGATTCCGAAGCAACTGCATCTTCCGCTTTCTTCAAGTTTCAACACATTGTTCATCTTAAATACTGTTATAAATTAACAAAAAACAGAAAATACTACAAAAACTGACTCATTTTAGTTCTCTGAAGAAAAAAAATAAAATTTCTACGAAAAAAAGCAAGTCCCAAGCTTCTGTTTTCAAAAGTGAAAAGCGTTTCTCGTATATCATATGGTCCGGAATACAGTGATTAAAATTTCATCGGTTAACGTTTAGAATGTATGAATGTCCTATTTAATGCATAAAGTACCGTAAGATTTGCAGAACGAATTAAAATTTGCCCGTAAATCGCTAAAACACTCAAACAGTCTTAAAACAATCAGTACTTATAATAGGCAGACATCTTGTCATAGCTTACGCCGCGGAAAATCCACCAAAAGCCAGCCAAGAAGCCACCAGAAGAAAGAGATGCACATTTGTTCAAGGGAGACAGGCAATGGAAGGCAGATATACAGTAGATGAGACAGTAGATTCTGGCGCACAACGGTTGTTGGTGTACTGGGTAGTACATCGTGACCAGATGTGAAGATTATTTCGATCCCCTCCTGGTCCACAACTATTTTCGAAAAGGGGCTTCTTTCACTTCGACAGCCCCGTAGATGTTGCATCGTTCAAGACGAAGTGTTAATGCCCAAAATACGCCGCGAATATCTCGGAACGGCCATACCTTTGCTAAGTGTTTCTGTCAGGAGAATCACTGAGCTGGTGGCTCTTTGCGGAACGAAAACGGTCATTACAGCCGACAGCAAGCTGACCACTAACTGGTGCAAAATGGGAAAGTCGTTCAGCCGCATAGCTGGAGAATTAGAGTGTGATTACTGCTAACTCAACTGCCCAAGTATGTTTTCGTGAAAAAGAATGAACGTATTAACCTGAACTGAATATAATTCAACGTTAAGAGCAGCTTCAAGTGTCAACACAGCTCTTGCCGGATTACCACGCAACGGCCACCAGATGTCGCAATGCCTGCAAAAAACAGGCAAAACTTTCCTGCTTTTATATATTAGCGCAATGCTGGAGAAATTGAAGCTGAGCTTATCAGCGGAAAATTGCGTGCTTTTATCTCACAATTTTCTTTAATCCATAAATAGCATTCCAAAAAAAGGGCAAAAAAAAGCTTTTCTTGTCATTTTAACAGTACAAAATTCTTTTTTTCCTTGAACATTAATCTAAACAGCAAACAGAAAAGAACAAGCAACGGGGAAAACCTGATAAAAGGTGTTGAAATGGGTTCTGTCCTGTAGAGGGCCAAATGAACGTAACGAACGATCAGTACAAATGGAGCGGAGATTATCAAAACCAGTAGAACGACTGCGGTGAAAAGTATACCAAGGAAATGCTTCAGGACCGCACCGATAGCGATGCAAAGCAAAGCACTGCCGTAGCGTGGCTTCAGGATTGGAGGTACTGAGGTGGAAGCCACTTTCTGAAACAAAAATGCCAACCAACTCTGCGGAACTCCTCCAGTTACGAACTAACACACTTATGCATTTGTATGCTTACTCATTTACCAATACAAATTCTGGTTACTTTTTTAGCTATCAGTTTTTCCATGTGTTCATTGGTCGCAGTATCCAGTCACCCTTCCCCCAGTTATTTTTTTGCAGAAGCACGCATCGAAAGGCGATCGAACCACTCATCTTCACCATCTCCGGATTCTTCAAAACGTGGCGTGCTAACCGACTCCACGCTCAGTATTTGCGATAAATGAGTCTGTATTTATGGAATCCGTGTACACACCCTTTTTACCGTTTGTCTGGTACTGGAAAGAGCACGTTTTATCAATTTTTTGCCATCTGTTTCTGGGTATCAACGACACTCTTCATCGCAACATACGTACTAAATCTTAATCTCACAATTGCAAACCACTCAAATTAGCTTCATATTTTACAACTGACTAATTAGAATTCCTGTACAACAAGTCGTTCATTAGCAGCAACATTCTATTAGTAAGCAACAGCATTATAAGATATTCTATTTTTCAACATGCACTTTTTTACCAAAATCAATTTTTATTAATTTTTTCCAACTTTTATTGGGCAAAATGCCACAGAACGAAAAAAAGGGCAAGTTTGGGGATGGGGTAGTGATGCTCAACACAACCGAAGCACATTTTGAAACGCCAAAAGCCTTGGCAAATAGCTCTGTTAGGAGAACGTGTTTCCCTGAGCAAACGAAACGCATGCCAAGATCGTCAATCGACTGCTACACCACTGCATGATGAAACATCGGTCAAAGCAGCTAGCAAATTTTGCAAATGGCACAATCGGAAAACCAAATTGGCAGGTTTTTTAAAAAATTCAATATCAAAGCATCCAGATACTCATAAAAAGAAGTGACATCGCAGTAGTACTATGACAGCAGACACACAAACCGCTTGTGTTTAAAAAAAGATAGTCTAAAAAAAGCAGTAGTTTTAACGAATTTAGCCTAAGCAGCGACCGGAGAAATGGTACCTTTCTTGTTTTTCGACATCGCTCGTTGTTCCTCATTCGCTGCGATGAATAATCATCACGGCTGCTGCTGTTGCTGCTACAGCATGTTAGCCCTGTGGTGCCCGTTGGC